TGACCAAGCTCGGCCCACCTTTTACCCTTTGGTTGACGAATATGGCGATTAAAAGCGATGGTGGTTAAACGCGGAATTGGGAGCATAGCCCTGCTCGTCTCCATAAGGCTGAGAGCCGGACAGCCTACCTTTTGTGTCGTGTCGTAAGGCAATGTTATGCTAAGCCCGGGAGGCCTGGAAATTCACCAGCATCAGCTAGCTGTGTATTACTAGTATTGGTACATGGACAAGTCGAGTGGCGACCCATCTCATCCATGCCGTAAGACAGTATGGATAACCGTACTTGCTGCTTGTCTATTCGCCTCGTGCAGATCTTGTAGCCTTGCTGTGGACGATTGGCTGTGGGAGTCAGTTGCCCTTGCTCTATTCCGCCCTGCGGCGCCCTTTCGTCAAGATACCGTGCCGCCTTGCGGAATGTCTGCGGACTGGCATCAATTGCCGACATCATGTACCGCAAAAGCTGAAAGGGTTAGTGCCTCTTGCGAGCGTGAACTAGTGGGTGTTCAAACTTCCCGGTCAGCATCTTGAATTACCCTTGCTGGGAGAATCGCGGTTGTCGACTTGGTGCGGTCCATACAGCAAGTACAGACACGGAAATGTTGTCGGCTCCGAAAAACGCCCTGTCATCAAAGACCGACACACCTTACCTGAAGAGGATTGCACAAGCGTTCATTTGGAACCTTGAGGCCTGAATGGCTCAAGCCAGGGGGGAGGGAGAGCGCCTCTGAATTGAAGAGACTCTCATGGCGGGGATGCGACTTTGAAATCGCCAGTGTCGTCACGTGACGCAACTTGTCAACTCCTTTGCCGGCACGATGCCAAGAGCACATTTCCGTTGGCACATGCTAGCCAGACACCTCGTTAATTACTTGTTTCACGGCGAAGACAGTCAAAGCCGAACCGGTGTAAGGAGTTGATTGTGGTTTGCGGCCTCAACAGTTCCCGTCTCCTGGTTTGGGGCTGAGAAAGGCGCTGACGACACGGATTTACAGGCGGCACTGATGCCCACAACCAGGTCTCTTTGCACCAGTGACGGCTCGCCTTGCAACAACATATTACTCGGATTGCGGGGCAGTATCCATAGCTAGTTGCATATCAAATCTCATCTTGAGCAAACTCCCAAGTCCATGTACGAGTAGTCCGCGTAGCTGGGTCCTGGCAAAGAGGGGGGCGTACGGGGGGGAAGGGTTAGGCGGTGTCACGGCTCAAGAAAACTCGAGTTGGGCGATGTCAAGGCTGGTCGAGCTAGACAAGGAATCTCCCGTCGTTGTCTTTGCAGGAAAACTTGCTGTTCGTGGGTCGGCTCCGGCGACGTGAAAGGGCGGCCGAAATCCACAAGCTGATCAGCCAAATGTCCTCGGATGGGCTTAGTGGCTTGCTGGGGCACGGTACCGGAGCACAAGAGCTAAAAATCTCTCCAGGGAACTGCTGGCCTCTGTGCAAGCACGGAGCGCCGCTTGCAACTCGTTGCATGGGAACAGCGTGCTAAGTCAGCACGGCGAGCTGAGCTCTGAGCTAGTCTTAGGGCGATTCAGCCCTCCCAGGAGCAGAAGCTCGTGCTCGCGCGTGGGCGGACCGGTAGGGCGCAGACTCCATGGAGGATGGAGGACGCGGAACTGTTCGTGAATCCTGTTGCAGGCACGATTAGTTGGGTCTCATGGCTCCGCCCAGCTGAAGGCAAGCGGCTTGACAGGTTGAAACCCCATGCTGCGAGGCAGTATTGGGTGACATACCGCGGAATATCGACACGTCTTGCAAGCCACAATCCAAGAACCCAGGTCATCTGGCCACGGAGATTGCAGTTCGGGTCTGAGAGGCTGAAGCGACTTGTTGTTTGATGCAAAGGCGAACTTGGGGGTTAGCAGCGACTCTGACGCAGCGGCACGCACTAGCCCAGAGCCGACATGCCGGAGATGCTGCGTATGAGCTACCCGAGACCTGGTTCAACCCAAGGCATTTTCCGGTTGGGCAGGATTGTGGTGAGGACGAGGAAATGCTGGTGACAGTTGGTGACGTCTGTGTTGGTGAGGCTGCGCTGATTGACTGGTTGGCGGCGCTTTTGAATAAAAGGCGGTGTTGAGCGGTATTATTTGGTTGTGGCCGCTCTTTCCCACCAACTTCCCAGAGTCGCGGTACCATCTTGTTGTTGGCGCCGACAGTGGGATCTGCCCAACCTAGGTAGCTGGTACTTGGACTTGGCTGGGATTGACCAGGACAACAGCACTAGACCGCCCACTAGACCGCCGTACCCAGTACCGGGGCTGCATTCTGGGAGCTGGTGACTGGCAACGAGCATCTAGTACCTACCAACAGACATCCGTACAGTAAACCGCAGTCATGCGCCATCTCCCCGACTTGGTGAGCATTTGATCTCGCCTTGAACAAGCCGAACCCTGTCTTCCTGCGATTCCAAATCCCCAGCCATCAGGATGAGCTGAGCTGAGCTGAACCGCGAGCATAGCGAACCATCTTGCGCAAATCAGCAGACTGCCTGGTTCGCCGAGGCCATCGCTAACGTAAGAGCTGGCCATGATGCTGGTCAGGACGACTGATTACGAATGCCTCTCCAAGGGCACGCCTGAAACATCATCTGTTGGTATTTCTCATCAGTCAGTCCGTTGTCTTGGCAGTCCGGTGCTAGGGCGCCAAACTTGGGTCAATGTTGACACAGGAAACTACAGTACAAGTATGTGCGCCGTACGATTACCTATACAACAAGGAAATGCGAGGCATTCGCGCTGCGCCGTTGCCACCACCTGAGCGCAGGGCTGCCATAGCAGAGCCCTACACCCCTCCCCTCTCCCTAGATGGAGTTGGCTAGGTACTCTCTCTCGTCCTGCTAGTCGGAGGAATATGGTCTCCCGCGGCTCGGCGTTGGAAGTGCTGCCATACGATACAGCGCAGTACAGTACAGTAGCTACGACGTGCTGGAACAGGCTTCGTATACCTACCGCAGGTCGAACCACCCCGGTCTTGTTGCTTTCCCTTTTTTGCCGATTCCGTCGCCAGGGGCCCGGATTCTGCATTCATGGCGTAGTAATGGCGGCCATTATACATTACTGATAGGGATAGGAGGGACTGGGGAGAGTGAATGCAAGTACGAGCACAATCCAGGACTCGTAGGGATGGAAGACGAGTGGAGCGCCAGAGGGACCAGATGGAGCAGGCCATGTCCAGCGTCCGGCATCATCAGTCAGTTCCCAAGCAGCAATGGATCATTCCCAGCAACAGGACAGGACCGCGCTGCTCACCACAACCTGAGATGGATGTTGCCTGGCTACCTTAATTGCTTAGCGCCGACTTGGACTTGGACAGCAGCCACGCCTCGCCGAAGCCAGACGCCCCCTCGTCCCCTTGTCCCTCGTCCAGCCCTGAGAGAGACAGCCCAGCCTAAACAAGAGGCGCTCCACTGGTGGGATCAATGGCCCTACATACATGCACACCACCGTGCTTAACCCTACCGGTCCCTGCCTGCATCATCCACGCCCCCTCCTGGCCACTGGGGTGTCGTCCTCGCTCTCACTCATCTCCAGACAGCGTCAGTGCTGGCCCTACAGCCCAGCCATGGACACACCCCCCTCCTCCCCAGGCCAAAGGACCATAAGGCACTAAGACAGGGCTGCCCACGCGCATCCCGTCCTGCTACTTGGCGTGTACGACGGTGCTAGAGCAGCCGCACCCGAGCACCGTTGGCTCTCGAGTCTTGCTTGTACCCGTATGTACACCTGGGGAGGGGCTTGCAGTCCAACGCACCTCTCAAGTCAACCGATCCTCTGGGAACGCTCTTCGCTCGGCTTCTACTTCTGCTTCTACTACTAGCACTTCTGCATCGTCTCTTGGCCCCTGTTGCTGGTACGCTTGCAAAGTCCTCAAGGGAACGGAAGCATGGATACGCCCCTCCCCCTCCCTTGGATTACTCCGCTCTGCTCCAATAAGGCTGGTGCTTGTCGCGCTTTCAGCGGCCTTTGCTTGGCATCAAAGGGAGACATGTCAACGGCAGCCACAGCATGAGTGCTCGTGGTAGCATCAACGGCTGGTTGCCTTGTCGGTGTGCCTTTGCCTTGCCTTGCCATCGGCCTCGTTGACTCAACCCCCGGCACTGGGGGAAAGGCAAGATAGGATAGGGAGGCGAGAGGGACGAGGAAGAAAGATAGGCTACTTTTGGACACAAGAAACAAACATGGCTCCTCCAACGCACGGCACCCCTCGTCCAACCACGTCCCTGGTTCTCCTCTAGCCAAACGACCACCCGCGCACTAACAGGATTGGCACTTGTTGGAGGCCATCTCAATGCTGGTCGCCTATCTATCTGCACGCCCCATTGCCGTGCTCTCGTCTTCCTACTCCCACGCCCTTACTCACTGTTCTTCTCTGGCTGGGCCGAGCAGCGCGCAGCGGAGACCAAGCTTGCTTGATATTTCTCTTTTGGTCTCCCGCCTCTCGCCCCTACATTAAAAGTCGTCCTAACCTCCCACTTGTTATAATTCGAGGGCATCCCATGTCTTTGGTCCCCTCAACTTGCCTCTAGTGGCTTCGTGTATCATTCTTCCAATCCTCGTTCTCCAATCCTATTCGCCTTTACACGTTTGCCTCTTTGTCTGTTCCTGTTTTTGTTGGAGGCCCTGTTCAGCTACCATCACCCAAACCACACCCAGGCACGCACTGCCTCGGAGCATCTTTGCGGCCCATAGAGCTGGACCTGGAAGACGCAAAAAAAACTCCGAATCCATTGCCACTTACGCATTTCTTCCCTGCTTCGCCTACGCGACACGTACGACGGACCCCGTTGCCGCAGCTGAAGCAGCAGATTTGCCATTTCACTGGCGCATTGACTCCCCGTCAGCTACAATTCGTTTCCATGACTCGAATGGGCGTGTAACGGCAAACACCTCTTGCTCACATATTCCGCTCCAAAGGCCCACCTCGGCCTTTGCTTTCTCTTCTCGACATCTCTTCCCGAACTTCAAAAACCTTCAACTCCCACCTCACATCACACAACAATGGCCTTTCCCCCGCAATTCAGAGAGGTCCCTGCTCCTCTCCCAAGCATCGTCGTGCCTGGAAACGGAGCCAATCGATTCAGAGACCAAGGCATTCCCTTCTCAAGAAGTCCGGCAATGGCCATTCCTGGTATCGAAACGCGGGACGACGTACCTCCTCCTCTACCTCCCCCACGAAACCTCCCCTTTGGCGACGCACCTACACAGTTTCGGGACGACTTCAAGGACAAGAGAGACTTCTCTCGTGGCTCTTCCTTCGCCAGTCGTTCATCCTTTGCGAGCGGCTACGGCAGCATGAGTCCTTGTCATATGGATGATCGACAGGGTTACGAGAGAAGGGGGAATGGGAGCATTACCAGCGATGAGGGTTATGCGAGCTATGCTTCCACAGACAGGTGGGAACTGATTGATTGCCTGCGCAAACCTCGCAGATGACAAAAGGAATAGAGTAAAAATAAAACTAACATGTTGCAAATGGCAGGTCCCGCGATTCCCTCTCCGGCGAGCCCTTTTGGCTTCACCACAACAAATTTCACTACCAATCAGCAGCCGATCTTCACGGCGACAGCGCGAAGAAGATGCTGACTCCTATCCGGACGCTGGACAGATCGCCCCCCCGTTCGCTTCTCAGCGGTCCCATGAGCGATCTTACACGAGGACTGCAGAACGAGCGGTTTGCTCCCAGCTTACCCAACCTACCCATCCAGCTTCCCATCCACAGCCGCGCACCCTTTGAATCGCAACCCCGAGACTCACCAACCTTTTCCGCCGTGTCCCCCAACTCAACGCCCTTCCACCGATCCCCAATTGACCACCGCTCTCCCTACGACAGCTCAGAACCAGATCGCTCTCCCCGAGGCCGGTCAAGACGAAACAACAGCGATGATGCCACTTCCACCCAGGGCAGCTTTGTCGACGACATGGAGATTGATGAGACGTCCTCGCTCAAGAGACTTCATATCGAAGATGCATACGCAAGCGCGGGCCAGAAGCGCCGGGCCGCCAGCCCTGCATCGGACGATCTTGGCCTCCACATGATGCCTGGCCAAGGTGCATCCCGCGGCTCTCCTACTCCTCGCCTGTCATCGGGCCCTCAGTCCGCCACATCAATGCTGAGCAGCGCCTCTTCGCGACCCAACTACTTCATGTCTTCCATCTCCATCCCGCCTTCTGCTAGCTCATACGGCCACCGCTCACCCGGTGGGGTCTCACCAGGGGCCCTCTCTCCCACATCATGCACCTCTCCATACAACACGCCCGCATCCCTGAACCCAAGCCCCAAGACGTCAGTTGCCAGCAGAGCGCCTATGCATTCACGAACCGCGTCTGGCGCCAGCCCGCGGAAGCTCCCTGAGATGCAAAAGCCCAACAGCACCAAGTTCCAAGGATTCTACATGTGCGAGTGCTGTCCCAAGAAGCCCAAGAAGTTTGAGACAGCCGAGGAGCTGAGGTACGTAAAACAATGCGCCAAGTTTTCTTTTTTTATATGCCCCACCATTTCTTTTTTAGAAGCCGTCTCTTTGCTTGTTGTATCATTCCAGCGCGCTGACCCAACCTCCTTAGTGCTCACGAAGCCGAGAAGCAGTATGAGTGCAGCTTTTGCGGCAACCGCTTCAAGAACAAGAATGAGGCCGAGCGACACCAAAACTCTCTTCACGTGCGCCGTCACTCATGGTCGTGCTCCGCGCTGTCGGGCTACAATCGGGCGTTTCACGAATCGACAACGCATCCCGGCGAGGCCGATGCGTGTGGTTACTGTGGGGAGGAGTTCCCTCGATCGGGACTTGGAGCGAGGGCCGGCTTACTCAACGGTGGTATCCAGGCAAGACACGCTACTGACCAGGACTGGGAGGAGCGGATCCGACACCTTCAAGAGGTGCACAAGTTCCGAGAGTGCAACTCGTCCAAGAAGTTCTACAGGGCCGACCACTTCCGCCAGCATCTCAAGCACAGTCACGCAGGCACTAGCGGCAAGTGGACAAACATGTTGGAGAATGCCTGTTTGATGGAGGAGGACCCTTCGCCGAGGTGAAAGGGAAATATAAAGAAAAAAAAGAAAAGAAAAAAAAAAACTCTCTGGCTCTCGACGGCTGCGTTCGAAGCACCGCAAAGGATCGGCCGCGCGCAGCAGCTCTCATGACGATTTACTTAACGAATTGTTTATACATAAAAGCTCTTCTCGTTTCTTTGAGAAGACGGCATAGCCATACATTTGTTTTCTTTCCCGTTTTTTTGTTAAACAAAAGGAATACCCGCTCCGGAAGGCGATATAGTGGAGCTCTGCATTTGCATTTGACAGTCAAAATAAATATTTTTCGCATTGGCCGAGGCTTTTTTTCTTCTCTCTCTTCCGTTTCCCTTTCTTTGATAACGAACGACTTTACGACAATCAGTTGATTCATAATTGGGCGCTTGGGTGTCAAACCAGGGGAAAAAAGAAAAACACGAAAAGGAAAAAAAAAGAATTGAGCTCTCAAACATCTTTGTTGGCTCAACATTGGGAGGAAACCATGTGTGATTTTCCGCAAGTAAAATATAACCAGGGGTACATGATGATGGCTGGATACGATGTCGCCACTCTTGGGCACATGGACTCAGCCCACCGATGGAGGTAGGGTGATTCCAAAACACGAAAGCAAAAATTCGCAGGGTGTTTTGTGTGCCCTTGGAGAGTACTATGGCGAAGATGCATTGGTGCCAGCCTAACCAACGGTCTGAAGGAGAGGAGGAGGTCGAGCCGAAGATGCCATTGGACATTTGCAAAACAGGTCAGGCTGACAAAAACCACGGCACGCAGCTGGGCTTGCAGAGAATCCCAGGTAGAGCATCCTCCCCTCCCCCCCCCCCGGCCGATTCCACGACGAGTAAGACGTGCGCATGCTTCTGTTGCGCCTGTGCCGCCGAATTCGGCGAAGAGAGGCAGCTCCCCATGTCAGCCGCTAAGACGGGCCTCACACAGGATTCAGGATCTCTTTTCCCCCGTCTCTCCATCGCAGGGCTGCCCTCTTCTGTTGCTGCTACGATTACGGAGCACTACCACTGTCCAATTGCAGGCTAGCTGAAGTCTTCGGAAGAGCTCCCAGGCAACCCGCGTCTACCAGGGCTCGGGCGGACGTTGATTCTCCCTTCTGCCGAAAGGTCTAGATGAGGCCCGGGTTTGCGTCTCAATTGCCGTTTCTTGCTTGTGGGACTCGACATGCCCCTGCCCCATCCCTGGGAGCGAATTGCAACTACAAAGAGGCGACTCACCTGTTGCGAGAGAAGGAATGTTGACGCAATCGACCGTCCGCCGGCGCCTGGAGGGGAGGGAAAAAAAAGAGGAAAAAGGAAATCCGTAGACGCGCAGATTCCCGCAGAGCTGCAGAAGGACTAAGCAAAGGGCAGCCCCATGGCCGTGGGAGCCCGTCGCAAACCACTCCCGAGCGAAATTTCACACTAGGTTGGGCTGTACGCAAGTGGCTGACGATGAACGGGCTCTGGTTGGGCTGAGGCATGAGACCCCGGTCCCAGATACATGGCACGGGCTGGCCCCAAGCCCTACCCTCCTCGGCCTAGGTGGAGGGGGGACAGCAGATGCTCAGCCAGCCGTGTGACGGGAGCCAGCGAACGAGACATGGGGATGCCCATTGGCAAAAAAGATCAGACCGGAACAGCTGACATACAGATTGCCCTCTGGCAGACGGGCTTGCTGGCATGGGAAGCCGCCTGAAAGTGGTGCCACACATGTGCGAGGGAACGAGCAGCCAAAAAAAGAAAAGATGTTTCATTCCTTGCCTTGCCGTGGCCTGTAATGAGGGTTTTCTTTCTTTGCTACTACAGTATACAGCCTTGATGCCATGGGCGTGTATGACAAAGGATGACGAGGTTTCATCAAGAGCGTTTACGGACCTTTTCGGCCCCAGACGATCCGGCTGCGAATTGGAGGGAGGGGGGGAGGCACCGGGGTTTGGAGGAGGATCCGGCCGGCGAAAGAGGGAAGACGAGGATGCATTCAAATGCCGAAAAGGGGTGGAGGCTAAACGAGTTTGAAAAGTGATTTAAAGACTTGAGAGAGAAAAAAAAAGAAACGTCTTGGAAATGGGTTTCAAGGCACAAAATTAGATATTTAAAAAAGAAGAGGAAAATGGCAATATGATTCATCAACAAGGCTCTCTCTCCATCTCTCTCTCCCTTGCCCTCCCGCATGTTGTCATTCATGTTGAACCCGACAGGATTTCAACGCAACGCAACGCAACGCAATGGGAAAAAAATAAAAAATAAAAAATAAAAGGCACGCGCGCATAAGCTGGGCTTCCCAAATGATTTTTTTATGCATACTTGGACCAAAACTGACATGGCCGAGTCACACATACTTGTGCTGTACGACAGAGTGTCTTACTCTGGCCTGCTGCGAGGCGCGGCGACGGCGAGTAGGACATTCCTTGTTCGCATGTAGGGAGTACAAGACCTGCTTTTGCGGTACGACTACATGTAACTAATACAGTATAAAATGCAAACAGTTGAAAGTTGCTGCGGTGAGAGTATACAGTAGGTATATACAAAGTAAGTTACTGTATCAACCAATACTTTGCATGCATGCGAATCAAAATGAACATCTTGGGGTGGATCCCAAGGCGGTTTGCCGATGGCTTTTTTGGTGTGTGGTGTCTGTATACTTGTTTGGTACAGTATCTGCGCTCGCTCGGCATCTGACGGGGGACAAACGCTACTTCGTTTCTGTGCTGGCGCGGGAGCTTTTGCGGGAATATTGAGTGACGATGGGCTTACTTGTACATGCAGTTGGTCGTTTGCTGGGAAGAGCAATGAGAATGAGCCATGGATGGGGGGGTTTCTTTTCCTGTTTGATGCTTTTTCTGGGTTTCTCCCCTTGCGATTCTATTATTGTGTTTTAGGTGCTGAGTAGAGGAAGTGGATTGTGATGATGACAAAAGAGAGGGACGCAAAGACATGTCGAGATGAAGACGGATATGGTAAGCAAGAGAAACAAGGACAGAGACGAAGAGAGACGACACAATACGATACGATACAATACAACTACAGTACTGGGCACGGGCCAGGCAGAGCAGCTTAGAAGGGAAATTCCGAGAAGGGAGCTGCCCTGCAAGGGGAGTGAGAAGGGATCGGAAGTCGGGATCTCTCACGGCTCCGGAGGGGGTGCTAGTATAAGCGGAAAAGGGCATATGCTATTTCGTCTGTTGTCGTTGTCTGTTTTGGTGGTTTTTATGGGTTGGGCTTGTGTAGAGAGAAGTGAGCGAAGTGGCTTTGCTGATACGATACACGTACACGTACCCATTACAACGACAGAATACGGTACCCTGGATGGCGTGGCTTTTTTTCGCTTACAAGTAGGTACATGGGGGGGGGGGAACAGCTGGGGGCGGCTATTGAATTCAATTTTCGAGGGCACTTTGCATCTGGGTTTGAATATTGCTCCGTGTTTCGCACGGGGGGTTTTTTCTGCTTTGCGTTGCGTTGCTTGTCTTGTCCCTTCTGCCAGCATCATCAAAGATTCAAGCGCGTAATACCGGCATATTACGTCCTCCCACGTCGCGGAGCCGGGATCAGCCCTTTCGGCGAGCGAGGGGGATTGATTGATTGATGCTTGGAATTTGCTGACCTGCAAGTCCCATGCAGATGATTTGATGGCCGAAAAGAGAAGTCCGTATGAGGAAAATAGTGGCGCTGAGGAGGAGGAGAGAAAGAAAGGGCCATGTCGCTAGTACTGGGCCTGGTGCAGTAAATTGGCTTGAGGGACAGGGTACAGGGTACAAGGGACTAACGGAGCTGACAACTGGAGAGCCTTTTTTTTTCTTCTCCTTCTTTTTGGCTTGTCGGGATTCGAGGACGGCATTGAAGGTGTTGAACTGTGAGGAGAGGCTTTTGGTGGCGCCAAGGGGGGGGGGGGTTTGGGTGTTTGCTTTTGCCTGGAGTAATTCTGGAGTCTCCGTGAGACTATTACTCCGATAGTTTTGTTGTGGCTGAGGAGAAATAGGAAAGTGCACAAGTACCAGGAAGTAAGTAAATATTACTATGTGGTAAGAGGTATGTAAGAAAAGAGAGAGCCATGAAACTAAGAGAGGACAGGATAGCTGTTTTTCTTGGCTCGAACTAGCAAAGGCTGTCAGCAGCAATCTTTACTCGTAATAGCCCAGTGTAGCCCAGTATTAGCCCAGCACCAAGATCTTTTTTTTTCTCTCCCGGGGGACCTATTTTCTTAGAATTTGAAATAATCTTTTAGAGGGGGAAGACATGATGGCCGAGGCTCGTCTTCCATTTTTTCCGGAGTCTACTGCTGGTTTCCACAAGTAAAAGTCTCCTTGTCATGTTGGCGCTAGCATCTCCTTGATTTCTTGTCAGTTTTTGAGCGCGGAAATTAATGTTATATGCTTACTTTGTACGTTATATTTTCCCATCAATGCGTTTTTGACTTTTCGTCCTTGCCAAGAACCGGTATGTCACTGGTCTCGTCGGATGGATTGCCTATTGCGTACACCAGCTCGCAGAGGCTGAGGACTGGAGTTGATACATCCGCTCCGCTGAATAGTATTTCGTAAACGCCTCCCCCCTTCCCCCCGCTCTTCAGATTGGACTATCCCTCTGGTGGATATGGCGATGTTGGGTATGGTTTACGAGAGGCGGGCCAACGACATGTACCTACGATTACACGTACTACGGAGCTTTCCGTGTCGACGACTACATGTACCTAGAAATGCGGAGCTTTCCGAGTTGGCGGTGCCGATACGGCAGAGGAGAGACGAACGATGCATGGTCTCGTGTACTGTAATTAACGGGGCCCCTCGATTTCAATGTCCAACGGCTATTGTGCTGCGGACGCCTATAATATCGCCGATGGACGCGGAGATGGTTCGGAGATAAGTCACGACCATTGCCCGATGAAGGTGTATACATGTATCAAAGGCCAAAGTCTTTCGTGTTGTGTTTGGCTTCTTCCGTGCTTCTTGTTTTGTTTTTGCCTACATGGATTTCTTACGCCAGGTTCAACCAACAGGACTACTACCTTTACGACGACTAGGTACAGAGCACCATGAGGAGACCATCATATGGCATCAACGCCCCGGATTTGAAAAAAAGAAAAGTACCTCGGCAAGATCTCTGCCGCGGCAAAGGCGTGGGATAAGCAGAATAGTGACGAGCAAGAACCAGAAGACTTACGCCCCAGTATCAGATTCAGCTCCGTATGGGTTATTCGAACCGAGAGGGCTACGCTACCGGGTTAGGAATTTCTAAGGCTTTTGCCAGACCATTCCCCTTGTTGCCTCTTGTGCATCTTCACACCCCCTCCCCTTGCTCGGTGTCTTGGTGTTGCCGTCTCTTCATCTGCATGTGCCGGCAAAGCTTCTGGGTAGGTGCATGTGTGCGACGAACTCATGGAGTTGGAGGTGGAGGACAAGGCGCTTACCCATCGAGTTACATTGAGGATGGAGTTGCGTGTGTGTGTGGTGTTTGCGGTGTTTGCTAAATATAGAGGCCTTGATATTGCTTGTCATACCGCATTATTACTAGATAGATACGAGCACAGTCTGGCATCATCTCACACTTACATGTAGTAAGTAGTAGGGATGTGCGTGTATCCCTTCACTGAGGAGTTCCCCCAGCCCGTCTCTCATCAAATGACAACGACAAGCGAGCAAGAGGGCGTGGTTCAGGTGGGATGAAGCAACCGAACAGGTATTTCGGCAAGGAAAATCATGCGGCGATGAAGGATTGATTCCACACCGATGCTGGTCTGTCGGGCGATGGGAGGGGGCGTGAGGGAACATGAAGCCAGGCTCTAGTGGCTCAACCCCCCTGTATAGCAGCTATTGATTATTATCCCGTGTTGTTTATTTGCCATCAATCACAGATGCTTGTACTTGTACTTGCACTTGTACTTGTTGCCATGGTGCCATCATGTGCATGCAAAGGGATGACGAGGCGAGTCGCTTCAAGAGCCGGATTGTGCTGGTGTTACTTGGGCGAGAGGGTGTGTCCATGCATTGTCCAAAATCAACGTGAAGTGCTGTAAGAGGGATAGCTGCAGTGGCCGTGCTGAGGGCCGCACGGGGCACGCTGTAGCGCCTGTAGCACCTGTGCGAAGCTGCTGCTACAGGGCACTTACAGGGCACTTGGAGGCGGGGCTGCAGCGGCCTCGGGGCTCCGTCCATACTGCACATGTTAGTACCTTAGTAGCACGTACTGCCCGGCGGGATGGACTACGTACCTGGACATCTGATGGCACTTGATTGAGCCAATGGCGGTGGGTGGCGGAAACGAGGCTGAGCCAGCAGCCCTGCTGTAAGGCTGAGGCAGAAGCAGAAGAGGGAGGGGATTGTGTGGCGGTGCAGCTCTTTCCATGTGTGGCGGTGCACACCCAACGGCCAAAGCCAAGGCTGCCGCTGGTTTTGATGTACTTGCTATTGCTGCCTCATGAACCGGAACCGAAACCGACCAAACAAGCCAATCCGACTCAACTACCTCAAGACGATATTCTTACTGTTTTGCGTCTCATAGATTGACGTTTGTTTGTTTCATCTTTGTGGCATTTCCCCTGCGCTCTTGGTCCTGAGCGGCCAAAGTCGCGCGGACAGCAGAGTTTTCCCCTCTTTCACCACTATCTGAACCAGACATATATACAGACGTACAAGGATAAACACATCGGTTCGGTTCAAAACAAAGATAAGCTCGCATTCCGTCTCACATCATTCATCACATTCATCTATCCGGAACCTCAAATCACACTCAAATCTTGGGCCGCAAACAGCCGGTCAACCCTCGTCCATCGTGGCCTCGTCATCAGATAAACCGGCGGCCGACGTGCCCCCCGTCGAGGGCCAGAGGGAGCAGCTTGGCCACCGGCTGGAGCAGGAGGAGCACAAGGCCTTGGAGATGAGCGTCGTCGAGATGGCCTTGAGCACAGTCGAGGGGGTTCCCAATCTCTACGTCGGAGGGTGAGTGACTGAACCCCATATATGAGATGGGATTTCTCGTATAAGAGTGTATACATGAGTCTTTACACTACCTATACTCGTATATGTTCTTACATCACAGCTAAACACAAAATCTCTTATAAACACAAAAAGACTATGGGCCCTCCGCCGCTCCCAGTCCCTCCTGGACCGCAAAATCACACACGTCCTCTCCCTCGTCTCCTTCAACCCAAGCAGCCTCAAAAACTTCAACGACGAGCCCTTCTCCGAGTACGGCAAGCCCTTCAAGCACCTCCTCATCGACATTGACGACTTCGAGGACGAGGATCTCCTCATCGAGCTGCCCAATGCCGTCAAGTTCATCGACGACGGCCTAAGCCGGCACCAAAAGTCCACCAGCAGCGGCAGTGATGTCGCCACGGCGGTTGAGCGTATCGGCCTAGACTCCGAGGAATCAGGCTCATCAGCATCAGGTTCAACGCCAGCAGCCTCCTCAGACCAGCCTCCTCCTCCGCAGGGCCATCCCCGACGAGGAGCCGTCTTCGTCCACTGCGCAGCCGGAAAGTCCCGCTCCATCTCCGCCCTCATCGCCTACCTCCTCTGGCGCTACCCGGACCGCTTCACCGGTCCCGCCGGCGCGCAGCTGGCTTCCACTCTCGAGGGCCCCGAGGCCGACGAGTCCGTCGCCGAGCCCGTCCGCGCGGCGCTCGCCCTCATCAAGCAGACGAGGCCCCTCGCCGAGCCCAACCCGGGCTTCATGCAACAGCTCGACCTCTGGTGGCAGATGGGCTGTCCCGCCGACGGCGACATCGAGACACAGCCCATCTACCAGCGTTGGCTGTACCAGCGCGCCGCCAGAGAGAGCATCAACGCGGGACAGGCCCCATCGCAGCTCTGGTTCGAAGACGAGGCGGCGGCATCCAGCACCAAGCCGTCAGGTTCCTCCTCGTCTTCTTCTTCGCCGTCGTCTTCGGCCCCCACGCCGGACAGGAAGCTCCGCTGCAAAAAGTGCCGCCGCATCCTCGCCACGGCGCCCTTCATCGTGCCGCACAGGCCCCGCGAAGATGCCGCGGCGTCCTGCCAGCACTTCTTCATCGAGCCCCTCGGCTGGATGCGCGCCGAGCTGGAAAAGGGCGAGCTCGGCGGCCGGCTGTCGTGCCCGAACCCAAAATGCGGCGCCGGCGTGGGGCGGTACGACTGGAAGGGTTTTCCGTGCTCGTGCGGCTCGCGCGAGGACCCGGCCTTTTCGCTGCAGAAGGCGAGGGTCGACGAGGAGCTGTCCAGGGCCGCCCTGCGGATGCCTCCTGGCCGAGGCGGAAACGGGAATCTGTGATTTACCAAGACAGGGCACGGGACATTCGGGATCATCATCAGGGGGGGGGGGGGTACCTATTTGTCCGGAGTGCTTGATTACTATCATTCTCCGTCGGCCATTACCACCTATCTTGTTTTGCTCTGTCAGCGCTGAGCTCAAGCATACTCCTTAAACTCCGGCCTTGGTATCCAGCATCGCCTGATTTCCCTTGTATCATATCAGTAGTACGGAGTATATTCTACATCGTCCCGTAGCATAAGCCGCCCCGTAGAATAAACAATTCGAATAGCGTTGCCCTGTCGTCTACCTCGCCTACTTCGTCTACAATACACGAATTACCTCATTCTGCTTTTCATCAAAAAAAAAAAACACTTGTCTAAACCGGGTACTTGGATTAAAAAGTAAAGCCCGTGAGAGAAGTGACAAGCACTTGTACGCATTGGGTCGCCAAGAGGCACCGTTACTATACTTACAAGGGGGCTCCATTCATCACCAGATGGCATGTCGTGATTACAATACAATGTATTATACTTTTTTTCTCTCCCCCATCGATGAGGACCAAAGTAGAGAATGGGTTAGAAACTTACAAACAAACCATGCTAGTAATTCTCCGGCATTTGACACAGATTAGAAGCTGACAAGCCGCGGCGTTTCCGCCGTCAGAAATTGGGACCTTCTCCCCCTCCCCTCGCCCACATCGCCGTTATAAGTCAAGGCCGGCAAGACGCTGCAAGCCAAGACTCCCGCCCTATCCCCTTTCCAGCAAAAAGCCAGCGAGGCTATCATGATGGCTCATAACCCCCAAGTCCCTTGTTTTTGTCAGCCCTTGCAAAAAGAAAGAATGCAAAGGAACTGGACCCCTCCCCCCCAGGTCGCGCGAGCCTTACGAGGCCAAGCAGTAAGGCTAGAACAGAGCCCATCCCCCCGGTAATGCGGGTGTGATTTTCCGTCGGCGCCTTGGCCCTATGAAAAGTAGCACCATTGTTAGCATGTCAAGGGATGTGGGCATACGAACCCGGCCCGTCCGCGGTCCGATCGGGGCCGACATCCGGGACCAAAGGGGGACCATTTTCCCCTTCCTGATGGACTCCGCCCCCCCATCCCTCCGGAGCTTGAAGGCAAGAAACCAAGATACAAAGGGCCACCGGTGGGATAGCGTATTGGAGACAAACGGGGTCTTTTGTGCCTGTAAAAACAAGCCCAGAGGAGCTGATGCCGTGCTGACTAGAGTTGAAAAGTGCCGTCTTTACTTCTTTCGGCCGCGGTCGGTCGCCACATCAGACCTAAAAGGCTCGGCTTTGGAGCTATCCGGCTGTCGCTCAATCGCAATAGTCCAAGTCCACCAATCGGGCCTATGTGCCGCCAAGAGCTTGTTTTCTTTTGCCCAGAGAGCTGTCTCTTGGCACAAGACAATGATGAGAAAGCAAGAAGAAAAAAAGATATTGTCCGAGCTCGACCGCCATGCCTTGGCATTTGTAACGAAATACAAGCAGCGAATACAAAGAACCCCGACATCCAGTATCCATAGTCTTGTTAGCGTAGCGCTTAATAGTTTGCTTCTCCGTACAAAGTACTCGTACGCCGATGCTCGACAACCTGGATAGTCGAGGCTGGATTGTTGGCTCTGGACCCCCACTCCTGACTACTCCGTACTGGGTCCTCATTTGTCGTGCTTATCAGTCAGTCCCCTAGGCTTTCGATTTTCCTATCGTTGTCATCCGTATACACACGTTGTCATTGTTGGTCTGGAACGAGAGTTGCAATAAAAAAAACATCATATGACTTGCTCCAGGCAACAGAATAAGAAGGGCCTGGTTCGTGATTCGGTGTGAAGCTAGGGCGAGCTGCGAGCGCCAGAGCCACGCTTGTTTGATAATCCTACCGGAAGTACGGAGGACCATGTCCCGGGCGAATATGGTTCCTGGAGCCGTGGGATTATCATCGCAACTCATCTCATCTCTGGTCTCGCTTCTCTCATCCCTCATCAATGACAAAGTCCAACGAATGCAGTCCCGAGAATAGTGCCGTCGAGTCCTACCGAGTAGGGCTTGCTTGATTTCCCCGAAACAAAACACACCCCTCTGTTGGCAATAATAACAGTGACGATGTTACTCCTTCAAGTCCGCTGGGCCTTTCGAGGTACCCTTGAGCTAGCCTGGAATCCTTGTCTCTTTTCTAGAAAATTTCCCTTTTGCCTGCTTACTCTCTCATGGTCGCTTAGTTGAACCTGGCCTTGATAGCAAGCCTCCTCGCGCAAGCGTATTACCTAACCCCCCCTCGAGCCCTTTCTTGCCTTGGGAGGCGTCTTACAAAGCCACCGGGATCCGATGAAACCACGCAGTTGGGATCGTCGGTGACCCCGGAGGCGCAAAGGGGGTGTGTGCGTGTGTCCCATTCGCCATGCAGTGCGGGCAATTAGGGCCTGTTTCCATCCTCCCCCCCATGAAATCTCGATCTTCTGGGCGACCTGCATTGCATTCCTGGACGATGGCCCTCCCGAAAGGATAACCCTGGGGGCACGGTAGCTGTTTCAGCATCTATTTGCGATCGATCCCAAGGTGCCTTGTCGCATGACCCGCTGGCGTAAGCAACTCGAATTTCAAATTTCAAAACGGGGCCATAGGTGGTCAAGTCAACTCCAACTGAGTCTCAGGGGGGTGGTGTAGTTGGACCAACGCGAGTCTCTGTTTGATCCCAAAGAGGGAAAAGCCAGAGACGACCAGAGGAAATGCCTTTCCAAAGGTTCAAGTCCGTCTTGTTTCAATCTTTGCTTGCATGAAACTAGTAGCTCACCGTAACCCAGGACCATATCTTCGTCTCCATGTCGTAAATGGAAAATTAGCCGACCGATAAATGTACCGGCCAAGGGAGTCTCCTTTCAGGGTCCTTTCAATAATGCACCGAATCGTCTGCCATCGATGACAGCTCCACCTCCACAAGGCCACGTCTTCACGCCCGTCCACCAGACCGGTATTCAACGCCTCTCCCCCCCCGACACAGAGGCTGGTAATGGGTCATGCACGGGCCCTCGCAGGGCGTGAATCTCTGCAGGCCCTTTCCCCCCCTGGCCATCTCCTCTGGATGCTTGAACCGCGTAACATATCCGTAGAGCACGACCCGCGGGTCAGCTAGTTAATCCATCCACCACATTCTTACCAACTAAGTGGGTAAATGAGCAAACGCGCATGGCCCTGGATTTGAATTTGAGTTTCTGCGCTCACTGCCGTTGACTGACTGACATGATCTGGGCGGCGGTAATGATGAGAGCCTTGTCAGGAGCCTGAAATCTGAGTCTTTTCAGGGATATCGTACCTGTAGAGCTGTAAGACGAAGAGTCCAAGGGTGAGGAAAAGAAAAAGGGACAAAGACTCTTGGTAATAAAAGCGACCTCTGAGATAGAAGACAGCTCCCTAGACATTGGTGATTGGCTGGTGAGGCGCTGCAACGACCAATTTGCAAATGGGCAATATTTGCGACGGCATGCGCCAAGTCCCGCCGCTAGATTGACAGCCAATGGTCGAAACAGCCGCCGGAGCGCGGGACAAGTCAAATGGAATGGCAGATCCCAAAACTCCCCGGATTACAGCAGACCAGGAGTACGGAGTACCGAGTGTAGTGGTATCGTACTGTACTGCTACTGCTACAACTAGCATAGCACCCAGTGTTATGCAGAGTCAGCCGCAAAGGGCATCGTCGACGTCTCCATGTCAGCATACGCCAAGCAGGGTTGCACAATGAGCATTGCTACCTGTCGACGGCAACGGGGGGTTTCAATTTCAGTTTGGCCTGGCTGGCGGGGGGGTGTATGAATCTGATTGCGAGATGTGCTGACTGAGCTGGTGCATGTGCAGACAGACAGACAGACAGGCATGGAGCTGGGACCGCTCACAGAGAGACAGCGTTGGAAGGATGCTAACAGCACTCCTCCGAGGTTCTCTCCGCCGGCTTTACAAGTACTGTAATCCGTAGCATGCTCGTACATCCATAAGCGAGAGCGACGGCAATGCGCATGGGCCCAGCTTCTTGCACGCACCTTCGGTACTCGTACCTGTAAGTCCTCTGCGGCCACTCCATCATCGTGTCCCGGGCCTCGCTGGCCTGGTCTTGGGTTGCCCTCCGAGCCTTGCGCTTTGAAATTGACAGGTCGTAAATCCCCTCTGGTGGGAATCGGGGACCATGAGGCTTTAGAGTTTGTCCTGTGGTCGCCGATGGCCATAATTGGAGCTCCTGCAACGCATCATCTTTCAACGCCCGCAGCCTCGCCTCGGAGCCTTTTCCGTAGAACGCCGGTCGTCCTCGTCTTGGAACCGCTCTGCTCTGGGGGTTCAACAATCATATGATGCAGCAGAGAAAAAAAGAAGAGCAAATAAGTGGATGAGAGGGCACACCACACCCCCCTCCAGCTTCCTTTTCCTTTTTCTGCGGAACTTGATCCTGTGGAGGGCGTGTAATTTCAGCCCTGGCTGGAACCACAGTGGCAGAAGATGCAGCTGGAAAAGCCGTAGGGACACCGCAAGTGTAAGCACTAGCAAAGCTGCCACCATCATATTGCTTTAGGCTCCCCATCTGTCACGAACTGCAGCTATGCGCTGTATTGCACAAAGTAGTGCTACTCCATAATACAAGTAAGCTTTCAGACGGATCGATCACCAGCTTCCGTAATTAGCAAGACTCCCGATTTAGTAGTCGATGTCAGCGAGGGCACTGAGAACTCCGTTTCGGGACCGAACCAAACACTCGTCACCATGCTCTCCAGGTTTTTGTTTTTTATTGAAAAAGAAACTTTCCATCAGCAGACTTGATGATTGGCTACTTCGTATTATTTGCGATTAAACATCTCTATTATTGGCCCTGTTGGAGTCGGAAACGAGATGCTGACGGTAACTGCTCACCATGGCCTGTTTGCACGCCCTTTTCGTGGCGCAAGACTGCCGTTTGAGCGGACAATTGAGTCATGTTTCAGCCATGCTGAACATCTGACTTGATGAGGATGAATATTGCAATTGGGAGTGAAAATGACATGATTTGCCTAGAGTGATGGAGAAAAGATGCGAAGTAATGGGAATTTGCGGACAAATGTGCTAATCATTAGCAAATTAGGGGACCGAAGAGTCGGTGATACCGAGCATGGCCTTTTGTCGATGTTGCAAATCCCTTTACTGTGTCCGCTCAGAGTGGGAAAAGGCAAGTGGTGCTCGGCAAGCTGTTGCCACGGGGGGTTGAGAATAATTTGTTATGGCAGGTTGGGCCATGGAGGCCGCAGGGAAGAAGATGATGAGAGAGATGATCTGCCTCGACCCGCGTGATGAGCTGTGACTTACGTTACTTTCTCGGTGGCTCGGTTGGCACAGATGGAAAGTAATTTGGCTGAGATGCTCTTTCGCGGTCCCTTTTGGCGGCTTCGGCTTGGCGTTTACGCTGCAGACGTTGTTGATAGAAGGAGCTGTGAAAAGTATGAGTTGTGATGGCAAACAAGACGAACTTCTGTAAAAGCACGCACCTCTTGAGTTCAAAGACGCGAGGCTCGTCTTCCTCCTTTGGAGTCTCTGTACCATTCTTGTCCTGATATCTTGTCAACACTTGTTTGTCTTTTAAGGGCCATTCAACGCTCTCATCCAGGCACAACTTACTGCTTCAGTTTCATCCGTGGTCTCCTTTTTCTCTTTCTCTTTGTCTTTGTCCTTTTCTTCATCCTTGTCCTTGTCCTTGTCCTTGTCTTTTTCCTTTTCCTTTTCCTTCTCTTTCTCCTTCTTCTTGCGCTGCTTCTCTTGGTACTCCTTCATCAGCTTGTCCTTCTCCTCGGCCAAGTCCTTCTCCCGCTTGGCCTTGATGGCATCCTCATCAATCTTGGGAGTGCAAAAGTACCGATCCTTGAGGTGGACAGGGCAGATGTAGAAGAAGTCCTAGGCCGGCCGCGTTAAGCCATGTGCCTGTCCGGGGATCTGGACTGAGGAGGTACCTTTTTATCCGGCGTGATGAGCACCGATGAGCTGGGCTTGTAGCAGATATCGCAGGCTTTGGCGGCTGATTCGGCAACCTTTCGGTGCGTGTAGAGGTTGGGGAACGGCGCTGCCATTGCTGCGAGTGTCCAGCGGGGGTTCAGCTGCTGCTCTGCTCGTCCTCAGTACGGCGGTATGTGTACGAGTATCATGAGTACATCAGTTGACGCAGTTGACGGAGTGGTGAAACGGGTATTCGAGATATGATGCTTTGATGCTTTGATGCTTTGATGCTTTGATAGAACTTGATAGATGCAACTGCTTGTTGCCTGAGACTCAAGTTCGCCCAATAGCTGTGGCGGGGAGATGCTGGTGGCGGATGACTAATCACCAGACGTCGCTGCAGCGGCAAAGTCGCGTCAGTGGACGGCAAATTATCTGAAGCTGAAGCTTCAAACGCGAACTTGATTCTGCCATCGATTCGCCTCCCTTTGCAGCGTATTTTCTCCCGGCCGTGAATCCACTCGCTGCTTCAAAATGGCCCAGTCACTCAACTCCAAGCGACTCGACGCAGTCTTTCAGTCTCGGCCAGACATCATCGCCAGGATCAACCAGGCGGCAGGTATAAGATCCAGAGCCAAAGACTCGGCTCGAATAAGCTGCTAATCGGTGGCCTAGACTCTCCCGGGCGGATTGCCCTGTTCAACGACATCGCCAACCACGTCTACGAACGACTGCAAGAGAATGGCGAGCCGGCCCAGAAGAGGAGGAAGGTCGGCGCCGAGCAGGCAAATGGCAGCCCAAGCAGTCAGGTAGCGCTGTCGAATGCCGCAGACGAGGCCGTTCTCCTGGAAATCAAGGAGATTTCTGTGTCGGTTCCGCAGAGGAAAAAGCTGGAGATTTGCTTCACCTCGAATCACTTATATGCACGAGCCCCTGGGACAACAGCTCCCCTCCCAGGCGTCAGCTATGCCTGGAGAGATATTGGTGTGTTTTCCACGCTCAGATCCCCCGAAACAGTCATGAATCATCTGTTGTGCTGACAAAATTCACAGAATATGCCTTCTATCTTCCCGTGCCAGACAAGGCGCAGGTCCAGTACAACTACCTTCTATTCCCCAAGGGAACTTGTTTACCCCCCAAGACAGGCACTCCCCCGTCCGCTGAGCCATTCGTCTTCACCGTTCCCGTTACTGCCCCAAAGCAAGGAACTATTGGGGGATCCGAAGCAGGGGCTGCGGCTGCAGTATCAGATACATACAAGTCCTTGTTCCACTGGGCCCTGACCAAGCGATTACAGGCGGCCGGTAGTGCTGTCAAGATTGTCTCTGCCGATCCAAACAAGTTCCGCAGCATGGTTCGCCAACCTCATCGACCCAACGAAGCGGCAGTCCATGTCAGCGGCTTCAGGGGCTCCAAGGACGGCTACCTCTTCTTTCTCGAGAACGGCATCCTGTGGGGATTCAAGAAGCCGCTCATCTTCATCCCTACCAATCGCATTGCCGCAATCAGCTACACCAGCATTCTTCAAATCACGTTCAACATGGTGGTTGAAATCTTCACCGAGGAGGATGGCAAGACGGAAGAGCTGGAATTTGGGATGCTGGACCAGCAAAACTATGGCGGCATTGACGATTACATCAAGATGAATAACCTCCAAGACAGGAGCATGGCTGAGCAGAGGAAGGCGAAGTTGCAGCTGGCCGAAAACAAGGGCCCCAAGAAGAAGGAAGGGGACGCAGAAAACGGCGACGCTGAGGCCGCCGAGGGGGGAGACGGCATGACGGAGTTGGAACGCGCGCACGTCGAGGCTGAGCAGCAGTTGCAGGATGACGAAGACGAGGACGAAGAAGACTACGATCCTGGCAGTGAGGGTGAGAGCGAAGGATCAGGCTCCTCTGACGATGATGATGACGACGACGACGATGAAGACGATGAGGAAGACGACGGTGGAGAGGAAGAAGGCGGAGAGGAAGCAGAGGGCGAGCAGGAGGAAGAAGAAGAAGAAGAAGAGGTCAAAGAAGAGCCGCCGAAGCCTGCTGCCCCAGTGAAGCAAGCAAAGCCAGCACCTCGGGCCGCGAGGGCCACAAAACCTGCGGCGAAGCCAGCACCAAAGCCAGCACCAAAACCTGCGGCGAAACCGGCAGCGAAACCGGCAGCAAAGCCGGCAGCAAAGCCAGCCAAGACCGAGACACCCAACGTCCCTGTTCGAACCGGTTGGGCAGCTTTCACTTCCAGGCCAGCAGCCGACGTGGACATGGCCGAGGGCGATGACGAAAAGTTTGACGTGGTGGGATGATGAAAAGTGCACGTAGAAGAGATCTCTCTCATTGGTGCTTCACGGGGTTTGTGTGCGTATTGTTGCTTATTGGCGTTGAAAAGGCATATTTAAAGTAGCCACGGTGATTTCTTATGTGGATCTTGAACTTTCTCTGTCCTGGTTAATATGGACGCATAAAGAGTTGAGAGCCGTTGTTGACAGGAGGGCTTCCAATACACAATTAGTTTATAATTGTGTTGACACATGGAGATTTGAGATTAATGAGCCACCTTGTGATGCGTATGCACGACGTATAATCCTTTTATTAATTTACAGTCCCAAAACTTCAACCCACCAAATTCCATATACACTGAATCACCAACGCTCTCATGTCCAGTTTCACATACTTGTATACTTGAGTCTCCAACTCCGCAAGGCTTCAACTTCACGATGCCGTATCTTGAATCATAGCAGTTGACACAGACCAAGCAAAATCTTGTCACAGGGCACGAGACCAGCTGTAACGTGAATAGTGTATGAACCTAGTCTCAGTTCACGCTGCCTGTACTTGTGCTTATACAGCCGGCCCGCTGTCACCTGGGGCATTAGTTTGCGGCATATTTCCAGATGTCTCGACTTATGTTGCTGTGTCTGAAAGTAATCTTGAAAGAGAAACGCATTGAGTATAGTTGCATCGGTGGCTTTACTAGGGACGCTGGGATATTGGCATGCTGATTCTCGGCTTGTCTATTGTTTGAGCACCTACTGAGAACTAATGTATGCAACTGGACAATTTTTCGAACCTCTGTTAACACCGGTTGAGATAGTTTACGCCCTTCTCTCGCTTTCAATTCTAGTTTTGCCTCATTAAAGGAACGGCGGAGACGCGTCTCGGTATGCAATAGGAGCTCCTGCACTGGGCTCACATAATTTGGAGCATTTGGGGCAGAGTTTGTAGCACTAGACATCTTCATATGATGTTGGTAAAGTTGGACAACGCTGGCACTCCAGGGTATGACTTGCGTCTGGAGAAATGGTCCTGTAAAGGCCTGGTGAGAAACCCTCCAGATATATACTCAGGTAGGTACTATCGAAGATATTGACTTCTTCTCTCTCTTTTTATATTTAAGCGTTGTTGGTAACTTTATTTTGTCCATAACCTCGTGACCATGGCAACATTGACAGCTCTTTGATCCAAGCCGAAGTTGTTGCAGTGCAAGTCTCATACGGAAGAGTGACAAAGGTCAAAAAGCCGCATCCGCCATATCTAGATTGGTTCCAATGACTAATTATGTAAAATCATTGCATTCATCTTTGACTCCCTTCCAGAGGCGGATAATGTGCTTCTATTTCACTGATGGTTTTTCCCAACTTTGTGAAGCCATCGCGAAAACACAGCACAAGAGCTGCCACAACAGGAACAAAATAGGCAGCATATTTGTCAATAAGTACTCAAATTTCGCATCTCCATTCAGTAAATATATCTCTTCAAAGAAGAAAGAAAATAAACAAAGTAATAATTAAAGAAAAAGCAATTCCCACCACCATCACATGTTTCTCCGTCCATCTACAAATGAAGCAAATCCGCCATATACACATCACGTGCACCATCACGTGCACCACCTCCAAACATTTGATAGCCTCTTCAGACCATCCACTCCAAAACCACCAGCTTCACCATCCTCACCTCATCCCTCTCCAGCCTCTCTCGCTCCCCCAAATCCCTCCCCAAATCTCGCCCATCATGTCAGGGAGCGCAAAGGCCATCCGCCTCCCCCCCCTCAAGACGCTGCGCGTCCACAATCCCAAGCGCCAGCCCGAAAACCCTTGCATCGCCATCATGTCCAGCGTCCTAGGTAATAACCTCCCCTCCTCTCTCCCTCTCTCGCAAGCAATCAAAGAGAAAAACGCTTCAATCATGCTGACCCCAATTCGCCAGCCTGCTGGGCCTCTGCGGGCTACAACGCCGCCGGATGCGCCGCCATCGAGAACCAGCTCCGCAAATGCATGGACGGCCCTCCGCCGCCGCCCGCCCCCGCGAACACAATCAACTACCACTTGTCCCGGATGCAAAAGTACGTCACGAGCCCGCGGAAGCAGAAATAAAAAGAAGAAGAAAACGCCGCAAAAAAGGCAGGATTTGGGGGGGGGGGGGGGACATTGGCCACATGTTCTCTGCGACAATGGGGCAAAGTTTTGCGCATCAACAGTCGATATAGTGCTCTCAAACTCGGGATCCGTCCCACGCTCAAATACTTAAGAGGCCAAAGGATGGAAGAGCGACGTTTCGAAGCAGAAGAGCAAGGAATCTCGCGCGCGAGGGAAAATGCGCAAATCACACAGCCCATGACGAAGCTTTTTGACGAAACCACAAACAAAGAGGGGTGGAGGAGGGGCAACAAGGCATAAAGGCGAGGCTGTTTTTTTTTTCACCGGCGTTGGGATGGACGATATCAAAGAAAAGTAAAATGTACAACACACTCAAGATTTTGGACATGAACAAGGGCTGCCATAAAAGGCAAAAAAGGAGAGGGCGAATAGAGCGTTTCATGTATGAGTAGCAGACGCTGATGGGAATTATTCCATCTTGTATAAAGATTGAAGAATGAATTATATCATCCGTGTGAGAATCTACAACTCTTACCATCTTCTCTTATCCAACACATCAATAATATCCCGCCGCATAAAGTCACATACGAAAAGAGTCTATCCCATCATTCACCATTCACAATTGCACTCAACACTCAACAACTTCCATCACCATCTCTGTTTGCACCAATCGTCCCCTCAGTCTATCCAATACTAGAAAAAAACACAAAAAACATCCAACGAGAAAACCCCATCATCTCAAACATGGAAAGGAGAAAGCATAGGAGGAGGAGACGAAAAGACTAGAACTAATAGAAGAAAAACAAAAGCCAAAAAAAAATCTCAATATGCATAGGGGGAAACACAAAAAGACAACAAACAAATCATCCCGCCCAGACAGATAAAGATAAAAATAAAAAAACGAATAAAAATAAAAGTGAATAGCCTTCTCAATTCTCCTATAAAAACCCTCCCGTCTTTGTCAGTAGCGCCATATAATCCCATGAAATGATGGTAAAGAGAAAAGAGCTTGGATAGAAATCTGCATCTCAGCTCAACTCAAAAAAAAAAAATAGTGTATTCCCAATAATAATAATAGTGGTAGTAAGGAGGATGAAAAAAGGGGGGATAGGGGTGGTGCGAAAAAAAGAGAAAAAAGAAAAATCGGTGGGAAAAGAGTGTATCGTTGAGACGCCCTCTCGGCTATAGCTTGTTCTCGCTAGATTGTATTTGCTGCATCTATATGATGCCGGCGCTTTGGTCAGATATGAATGTCCATCGCATAAGCAAATCTTGTGCATCTTTATATATTTTCTTCTTCTTCTTCTTCAAAGTTTGAGCCAAAAAAAAGGTAAGCAGAAATGGCAACGGGCCGTCGGCAACGTGTGAAGAGTAGGTGCGAAAGAATGACCTGAGTTGGAGTCTGATGGTAATAAATAGCATAAAATAAACTGGTCATGATCGCACATGTCGTGTGGTGTCGTGTCTATAATGATGATTTCGAGAGGTATCTTTTGTTTGGGCCTTGGACCGTCGTCAATATGATGGCAGCTCGTGCCGCTCTAAAATAAAAGAAAAAAGAATAAGAAAAGATTTGCTGCTATGCAATGGCTCTATACACCAAAACATGCGAATCGTCTGTGGTAGTCCGTAGGATAAATATGCTTTCCCGGTAAATTGCGCCTCCATCTACAGAGGCGTGCTCTGGTTTCCAATAAGAAATGCTGGTGTCTAAGTCGCCATGTCGCCGACGCAGAAGAGCTCTATCTCCCCTACACCGGCGGAGTAGGCATTCTTCATGCCGTCGCGGAACTCCATAAAGGCAATCTGGATGTCGTCGTCGCTTTCGATGGTGACAAAATCCTCGTCTTCATCTTGATACCGCAGCTTGAGCGCACCTTGTGCGATGCTGCTGGTCGTAAACCGCGCGAGCTTGGCATCGATTCGATCAACCAGGGACTGGTAAGTGATGTTAAAGGCAACGACGAGGGTGACATAGTTTCCAGTGTCGCAGGTCACGCGGACCTTGAGTTGTGTCGGCAGGGCCACGTCGGGGCTTGCGAGTCCGTTGGTCGGCATACCCGGCATGTTTGGAATGCCCCCAGACATGCCCGAAGGCATCATGCCCTGAGGTATCATGCCATGATGGGCAAGCATGCCCTGAGACATGGTTGCGGTGCCGAGAGAGGGCGATACGGTCCTTGAGTTGGCCACTGCAGGGTCAACACGAAGGCCGTTGGTGCCGTTTGGAGGTCCAGGAGTGGCCTGTCGAGGATATATCGGCTGAGTAGGGAACTGGGCCATGGTGCCGCCCACGCTACCCGAGTGAGAGTGCTTGTGCATCCGCGGGCCTTGGCTGCCCGGGCTCTGCGTGCTCGTCCGTAGCGGTGCGGGTGCGTCGTTTCGGGGAGAGCCGGTTTGCGACCTCGGGATGGAGCTGTCGTGCGCGGGGTGAAGATGCATGGGAATGCCGGGGACGGCGGGGATACTGCCCTGGCTGGGCTGGCGCCGCTGGCCTTGGGCATTCGCATCGGGCGTGCTGTATGAGCGGCTCCTCTGCTGCCCGTTGGGTCCGGCGTTGTTGCCGTTGACATTCTGGATCGCCATGGGAGGAAGAGATGGGCCGCGAGGGTTTCTTCCAGTTGGGGGTGTGCCGTCCCGGGACGGGGCACGGGGCATCGCCGGTGCTGTGTAGCGGTTGTTCTCATCCCATCCGGGCTGGGGAGTCCCCGTCTTTGGGAACGGGTAGCTGGTCGGGGGGAATATGCCGCTTGTCGTGCTGGTTCGAGAGGACGCAGGCGAATCACCAATGGGAGAAAAGTAGCTGTCCCCTCCGCGAAGTCCCGGCGATGGGACGGTCATGCTGTTTTGAGTCTGGAGAACAAGGGGAGCAGATGGCGGTGGCATTGGCAGCGGGAATCGTGGAGGGGGGGCCCTTGCGATGCTAGCCAGAGACTGAGACGTCTCTACCGTTACCGAGCGCTGCCTCATGTCTCTCAGGTTGGAGCTTGAAGCAGTTCGAGGGATCGCGCCTCCAAAGGAGGATGCCGGCATCGGGAACTGAGCGGGAGCGGTCGCGGGTCCCAACTCTTCGTCGTCATCTTCTTCCTGTTGCAGGTAGGGGTTCTCGAGCCCGCCGGCCTGGTCTCGTGTCCAAGCGAAATCGGTAGGGTTGTCGTCCGGACTTGTGGCGGCCCTTGGCGCATTCTCCTTACGTTGCGTTTCCAAGCCGTTGGCCCATTTTTTCATCATCTCCTCCGTGAGGAACTTGATGGTGAAGTTTTCGACGCCGGGATCTCCCTTCCACCAGATTTGAACACTATGCGAGCCTGAGGTAAGAAATGTCAGCCAGATGCCGAGAAAAAGAGACGAAGAAATCCCCCCTTTCCCAAAACGAACCTGGTTTTGACAATGATACAACATCTGTAACATTGGTCATGAAGATTCTACCCTTGAGTTGCAGCTTGGCATTCTTGTTCTTCGTCTTTGGGCCTTGCTGTCGGGCCTTGTCCTTCTTGTCCTTGCTCTTGTTTGGTGATATTTCCTTGCAGCATAGAAGGATGCATTCGAACAGATAAATTTCATACTAAGGACGCGGTTAGCTTTTTGTTTGCGGGGAGATGCATGGGAGATGCCTGTGTACGTACGTCCTTCTCTTGTTCACTCTTGCCGGTGATGACACCATAGACACCGTGTAATAACAGCTTCCCAAACGACTCAATCTTGTGCGACTTCCAATCGTCCACTCTGACTATGAGTTCCTCCAGCGCATCGTCGAGAAGGTCGCGATTAACGGCCTCGTTGGCTTTCTGGAGAACGCGTTCGGCAGCCTCGCATCCGGCAAGAAGATCATCCTTTGTCTCCTGCTCTTCCGTCTTTTTGGCCAGATCCTAATGGCGAGTTAATAGAGGAACATGCGTGGATGCTTTCAGAGGCAGAGCCCATTAACCAGTACGTACCTTGAGCAGCAGCGGATACTTGACTAGACGTTGCATGGGCTTCAGGAGGAAGCCATCCAAAGTGTTGAAGTCGGCGGCGACGGGGTGGTCGGACTGCTGGATCTGGTCGAAAACTTGGTTCGCAATCTGCGCGGCTTTGCGCTGGTTGGCGATGAAGGGCTGGTAGATGCTGAAAAACTCTTCGTGTGTGACAAAAGGCTGGCCCCATCGCTGAGCGGTCGCAGCCATGGAGTTTGTGGTCTCGACTCGAATCAGGAAGCGGCGTTGGAAATCCAGGATGGCGTTGATGTTGAGGAAAATCTGGTGGACAACGTCGCCGGGAATCACTCCCTTCTGCTCCAAGGCCTTCTTCAGGTCGTGCAAATTCTCCAAGTCCTGGACGTATTTTCGTTCGGTATCGACGAGTTCCTTGATGACGTGATCTCGGTAGGTCATTTTGGCGCCGGGACCGGCCTCGGGAGCCTCGCCATCGGGATAGGGCTGCAGCTGAAGGAGGCATCCGCGCTGTTCCGCAAGGTCAAGGACGTAGTTAACGACTTGGGTCACCTGTTTGACGTTAGAAGGTGGAAAAGAAGGACTGGGGAAATGGCGAGAATTGGTGTAGAACGAGGCACTATGCGTCAGAGACACACACAAGCCGTTCTACCGCAATTTTGGGGGGGGAAGCATCTCATACCTTGACAAAACCGCTCGTGTCGGTGCCCATCAAATCGGTAATGACAAAGCAGTCGGAAGACGCCACTTGGAGTTCCTTGAGGCAGGCCTGGACAAACTTGAAGATTGCGATTTTGGACTTTTTGGAGTCGGACGCATTGGCATTGGCATCATCGATGGCCAGCGGCTCCGCCGGCTGCAGCGTGTTGTAGATGACGAGGAGCGGATAGCCAGAGCGAAAGAGGTTCCAGAGGGGATCGACTGGATCGGTCGGGTCGAGATGCTCGAGGAAGGGCTCGAAGCCCGGCACCTGGGTCAGGCGCTGCTTGAGGGAGATGCATATCTGGTAGAGGGATCGAGAGGCGTCGGCTTTCTGGTTGATGATGTTGCTGGTGGCCACAACCGGGCCATTGGCAACCACCGTCATGTCGCTATTGAGTGTGGTGAGCGACGTTGAAGATCCAGCATAGGCTGTTGATCCAGACAGCTGGCTAGTGCGCGGCGCACTGCTGCTCATACTTTGTTGTGGTAAAGCGCCGGCTCCGTTTGGATGAGACTGGAAGACCGGGGCCGTGTTGGTTCTGAGCAGGGGTGCATGAGCCATGACCTCTCTACTCCATCCGTCGGGGGCCCGATATCCAGGGCTTGCAGGTCGTCGAGGGCGAGGTCAGGTCAGGTCAGGGACGAAGAGCGGCTTCGGGCGAGCGT